TAAAACTACAGTAATCAAGACAGTGTGGTATTGGGGCACCTGAGTGGCTCAGTCAGTTGGGCATCTGACTTTGGATCAGGTCACAATCTTGTGGTTAGTGAGTTCAAGCCCCTCACTGGGTTCTGTGCTGACAGCCTGGAGACCAGAGACTGCTTCTGATTCCATGTCTCCCTCTCTCTCTTCCCCTCCCCTGCTTGTGCTCTGTCTCTCTCTCTCTGTCTCAAAAGAAAATAAAAACTAAAAAATAAAAATAAGAAAGACAGTGTGGTATTGGTAAAAATATTGATAAATAGATCAATGGAATAAAGTAGACTTATATAAATATAGTCAATTGGTCTTTGATAAAAGGAAGTAAATGTAATGGAGTAAATGGTCCTGAAACAACTGGGAGTCCACATGTAAAAAAATGAATCTATACCCTTAACAAAAATTAACTCAAAATGAATCTCAGACAAAAAACAATGGACCACATATCTAAATGTAGAATGAAAAATGGCAAATATCCTGGATATGAGATAACATAGAAGAAAATCTGATGACCTTAGGTATGGTAATGACCTTTAGATCCAACATCAAATACACCATCCATGAAAGATAGTTGATAAACTGGATTTCATCAAAATCTTTTAAAAATTTAAAGCTTCTTCTCTGTGAAAGTCAATGTCAAGAAAACGATAAAATAAGCCACAGACTAGGAGAAATATTCATAAAAGAAATATATGATAAAGGACTGTTATCCAAAATATACAAAGAACTCTTAAAATTTGATAATAAAAAAACAAACAAAAAAAGCCTGATTAAAAACTGGACCAATGACCTTAACAGACATCTCACCATAGAAGTTATACAGGTGGCAAACAAACTTATGAAAAGATATTTCACATGTCATCAGGGAAATGTAAATTAAAACAACAAAGAGACTACTACAAAACTACTAGAACGGCACAAATCTGGAACACTAACAATACCAAATGCTGGTGAGGATATGAAGTAATAGGGACTCTTATTCACTATGGATAGAAATGGAAAATGGTACAACTACTTCAGAAAATGATCTGATGGATCCTTCACAAAACCAAACATGCTCTTACCATATGATCCAACCATCACATTCCTTTGTATTTACCCAAAGAAGCTGAAAACATATGTCCCACAAAAACCAGTACATGGAAGTTTCCAACAGTTTTATTCATGGTTGCCATAACTTGGAAGTGACCACGTTGACCTTGAGTAGGTGAATGGATAAACTGCAGGACATCCAGACAATGGAATAAAATTAATTCAGCACTGAAAAGAAATGAGCTATCAAGTCAAAAGCCATGGAGGAAACTGAAATGCATATTAGCAACTGAAAGAAGCTAATCTGAAAATTCTGTACCATATGAGTCTGACTGTATAACATTCTGGAAAGGGAAAAACAATGTAGATGGTAAAAAGATCAGATGTGTCCAAGGAGGTTCATTTGTTGCAACAGATGTAGTAGTCTGATGGAGGATGTTGATAATAGAGGAGGTTAGGGATGTGTGGGAGTAGGGGGTAAGGAGGAAGTCTCTGTACATTCTTCTCAATTTTGCTGTGAACCTAAAACTACTCTAAAAAAGTCTTTTAAAAAGTGGAAAGTCTTAAAATTACTGTGTAATGTGATTGTGTCGATTTACCTGCAACCTGAAAAGGCACTGTAGTTATTATCTACAAGTTTTCTGTTTTGCTAAGTTTCTAAGCTGTCCCTTTCCTAACACTGTGGCTAGAGAGAGCAGGGTGTGTGTGTGTGTGTGTGTGTGTGTGTTCTGCACCTGTTACTGTTTCTGGGGTACTAGCTGCTTCATCAGCTCCAAGACTGGGCTATATGATGCAAAAAGAAAATCCAGGAAACCCATTACCTTGTTATTGTTTGGGTTACAATATCCTTACTTAGCCTTCCTTCTCTCAGCCTTTCAGAGACTCTTAGGTGTGTTTATATATGATGTCTAGGATTTTCATTAGTGGGTAGAATAGGGAAAAGTATGTTTTTATCCATTTTTCCAAACTTGAAGGTCTCACAATTTTTATTTTCTTTTCTCATCTTAGTAGTCAATATGTTTTCTGTTTCAAATAACAACAAAAAGATATCAGGTCACAAGTTGAGTGTCTACTGTATATCAAACAAAAGGTATACCATGTGAACTCCATAAATATTCAAAAAGTATATATGTGAGCTCCAAAATACATTTATTCTCCATAAATGCTCATCTTCAGCACCAGCTTCTAGCACTTTGGGCTCTTGGTGATTTTCCAGATTTTATCTCTTGGTTCTTTGTTAAAGGAGATTTACACACCAGTTTTAGCCCAACTCACCTTTAAGTCTGGAGTCTCTTTTTCTTTAGGGAAGTGTCCACATTCTAGCCACCTTCCTTGATACCCTTGTGACCCCAGTTGGGGCCAGCCAGATTCTAGCCTCTGGAGAAAGCATAATGGTTTGGAAGAATCAGACCATAATGTTTCTTCCCATAGACAATAGCTGGTGATTCATATTTCTTGATATGTATTTGAGCAACTTGGTGTATAGTAAGTGTTCAGTAGATGATTATTGAAATGGGTTCTGATTTACTCAGGACCAAAAGGATAGACATTCTTACTGGCATCACTTCTTTTGTGACATAGAGATAAGAAGATCTCAAAGAGTCCACATACTAAGTTCTTTTCACTGCAATTCTATTTGAAGTTCTATGTTGGGAAAAAAATAGAGCAGGGTGTGAGGTGTTTTTCAGCTCTATTCCCTGCCCTCCACTGCTGGGCTTTGTATCACAAGGGGGTCAACTTTATAAATTACATTTCCTATGCTTCTTTGCCAACTGGCTTCCACTTATATTGGAACAATAGGAAACATTGATGGGATATTAAAATGTGGGAAACTAAGATAACTTCCCCCTCCCTTTTTGTTTTGGGAGGCATCTTGGGACGTGACTGTGATTCTTTAGTGACTTACAGTTCTTAGTGGACAACTTATTCCTCTCTATTCCAAATTCCCCATTTGATAGCTTTGGTTCCTGGGTTCTAGAAAGACCACCACTTCTCCTTTCCCCTCCATCTTCAGGAGTGGTGGTAATGCTTTTCTTCAATTACTTCAGTTAAGCCTTCTCTATGATGTTAATATCATCCCCATTATCCCTAAGGTCACACAGGTCACAAATGGTAAAGATGGGATTTTGAAACTGTGGCAACGTAGGGGCACCTGGGTGGCTCAGTCAGTTGAGCATCCGACTTTGGCTAAGGTCATGATCTCACAGGTTGGGAGGTCAAGCTCCGTGTTGGGCCCTGTGCTGAAAGCTTGGAGCTCAGAGCCTGGAGACTGCTTCAGATTCTGTCTCACTCTCTCTCTGCCTCTCTTCTGCTTGAGCTCTGTCTCTATCTCTCAAAAAAAAGTAAACACTAACAATTTTAAACTGTGGCAACCTACCCACCCACCTTTATTCATTTAGTCAGCATGTTGCAGCTACATCAAGCCACGGCAGGACTCCCAACCTTCCCAAAATGAAATGCAGAATTGGAGAATAACTCTTTCCCTAAAGCCTGATAGGTAATTCAAAGTCAATCATATATCGGGTTTTCTTCAATAGTCCACTGTAGATGGTATTTTATTTAATAGTAGAGTGTGAAACCTAAGAATATATTAAAAAATATATGTAGATCAAGGAATTTGAAGTCAATAATGCTTATCTCCCTATATTACACTAAAGAAATGAAACCACAAGTGCTACTCAGCTTGTAGAAACTAACCACAGAGGAGGTGAGCTCTATAATTCTGGAAGAAATTTTTACTCTCTCTCATTCTATTCTTTAGTAAAATTTCACGATATTATGCATTTTGTTCTGTAGAGATGACAAAAACTGTGTGGCTGATGTTAAGAATGTTTATTTCCACATATGCAATAAAAAAAAATCTCTCTTCATTCAGGCTGACCTTTCAGCTTGCTATTAACATTTTTGTCTCTTAATTTCTAAGAGGTAACTTCCCAATTGTTTTGGGGGAATCTTTTAATCTGGTTGTCAGCTAAAATAAAATTTTTAGTGCATTTTTAGATTAAGTCTTTTTCTCTTGTAGGTTAAGGGTTTATTAATCAATACTAAGGGTATCTGGATTGGACTCCGTTTTGATTTATGTTAAAACTCTAACCTGTCAACATTATGGTTGAACAAATCATTCTCCAGCTTGAGATTTTAAAGGAACATTGAAGACAGTGTGACAATTGAGTATTTTCAAATAAGAGTCAATAAAAATCAAGGAATTCCAATATATTTCCTTTTTTTAATAAATACATAAAGCTTTTTACCATTTCCCTCAGTTATTTTGATTAACATGATAATAGGATCTTTCAGAGCATTATTATACCAATTTTCACAGCCTGATGTAAGGATTCATTTCACAGAAATAATGACTAGCATTAATAGATGAATGTCATTGCCATAACACAACAGCATAAGGCATATTTACACCATCTTAACATAGAGAACACCATACACATACACAAAAAAGTCACAGATCCAGACAAATAAAATCAATCTCTTAGACAGTTTACATTTATAGGCTTTGCCTGAAACATTTTTTTGCTTTATTTTTTTTTGTAATTTTATTTCTTTCCAAGCAACAAACAGATCTTCCCTATGTCATGTGATTTATTTGTAACATTGTGTTCATGCAAAAATAATACTTGTTTTATTGCATTAACATTTAAATAGTTTTGGATTTGGGTCCCAAAACCATCATCTAACATTTTACTTGATGTTGCTTCATCCATATTGTCATTTTAGTTGGAGTGATATGATGATTTATTTTCAGTGAGTTACAAAATGACAAACATATCCAGTTGACCACAGTTCAAAAATCAAGATTCTAATCTTCTTGATCATGCACATTTTACTTTCAATCTTGCAAAATGGTTTGAATCAGATATGCCATTTTGATTAAACATTTATGTATTGTTTTCTTTTTTCAAAATCATATTTCTAAAAACAACAACAACAAAAAAGAATGAAAGAAAATACTGTCCCACATCCACTGTTCACAAAAAGGAAGAGCAGCAAGAATAACACTGACCATTGTTAGGATATAGTCAGATGGTGACACCGTAGTAAACATCGAATGCCATTGAAATACTGCAGGAATGTGATGATTACTATAACCCGTACTTCTGCAAGAGTTCAGATTGCCACTGGCGTTTGCGCTCTGGAAAATAATCTGGAATGTGGATTTTTTTAAAATCCTGAATACACTTTTTCATTTCTTCTTCCACACTTAGCTTCTCACAGACTTTCTTTTTGGATAGGTTTGTCTCCCGGGACTTGCTGATGAGTGTCTGAAAGAGTTCACTGTTTCTGCGTTTGTCGGGCGGGGGCATCCATTGCACGGGTGCTTTTTTGGAAGGGCGATCCAATGTTAAGGTGTTGGGTTGGTGAGCTGTCGCCTGCTGGGCACTGGGTGGGTTGTCCTGGGGAGTGCTCGCCTCTGAGTGGCTGTCACAGCTGGAAGTGGAGAGCTCATTACAGGAAGTCCCGCTTTCACTCCCTTTATCTGTGACTTTGTCATGTTTCCTATCTTCATGTTCTTGTTTAGGTGACACTATCTTCTGAGGTGGTCCTGAAATGAGAAGGAAGAAAAAAAAACAACAAAAACAAGTAGAACAATTAAATAAGAAGTGAGAAGGTTAAATAAGCTTTATATTTTTAAAATTTTAAACAAACGATATTTATCTTAAATAATGTTCCATGTTGTATTCCTTTATATTTGAGGGGTTGAAAACAGCACCTAACTCTACTAATGCATCTTGAAGCATGCAGCAATCTGGTTAATTACTTATACAATCAAGTGTGGGAGGTTTTCTTAAATGAGCATTTCTGCCAGACTAGATCATCAATAACTTTTACTCTAAAAAGCTTTTTTGTTATTTTAGTTACTAGATCCTGAAATCGAACCAGACGTGATATTTAAATATTTTGTTAATCCCACAACTGTTTCATTAGAAACTTAGTTCATTTCGGTTTGGTTCTAGTTATTGGGCTAGGAGTCTTTTGTGTATATATTTTGCCACTCTAAAAGCAGAAAGTATCCTTGCTCTTTTTTTACAAAGTAGCCATATTCGTGAAGCCCAGAGGTGCAACAGCATTATGTTTCCAAGTGGGAGACTGGTTTAAATCATGTCCTCAATCTCTTAATCTTGTTTCTTGTTTTTCCTTGAAGAGCATTATGAAAGTGATGTAAGATATATAGGTGCCTATTATAATGGTGAAAAATATAGTGGAAATATAGTATTTTCTTAAAATACAAGAATTACCATTTGAGGTAAATTACCTAGGAGGACAATTTTCAGAAAGTGACAGTTTGCCAAGATAATTATTTCAAATACACAAACGGTTTATTTCCAAGAGGAAGCATATTTTATTCTTTTTGACTGTGCTGTGAGATTAGGACTTCCATTTAACATTTATTGAACACTACCAGATACCCAGAACTATAATAAAACCTTGATTAACTAAAGCCCAACCATTGAAAAATAAGTTATTCAAACCTTATTTTTCTCTTGTAGTCAACTTTTGTAAACACATTATATAAATCAGGATGGGGAGTGGGGAAAGGCATCAGTATTTTTAAGCAAAACTGCCCAGAAGATTCTATTGTGCAGTCAGAGTTGAGAACAATTGGTCTAATTCATGGGGTCTCAACCTGGGCCGCATATGGAATTACCTGGAAAACTTAGATTATTGATGCCTTGGTCTCAACCCCAGACATCCTAGTTTAATGAGATGCCAGCTAGTTTAATGGCTATTGGGCCATTTAATAGATCCAGGTGATTTCAACCGGTAGCCAAGATTATGAACCTTTCCTCAGTCTACTATAATTAAATGAGTTAATAAGCAATATGAACACTTCATACTACTCAGAAAAGTGAGGAAACAAACCAACTTTTGCAAAAAAAAATACTCTTCATAAAAGCATCTACTATATGCAACATGCTATTGGTTGTCATTCATTGCCAATTTTCCTATTTAAAATCAGAAGAAACAAAAGAGGAAACTGAATATTTGAGTGGGGGAAGTTTGAGTTGGGTAGGATTAAAGATTAAAAAATACTTAAGAACTGTTTGAAATGATGGAAATATTCTATACCTTGTCTGTAGTGTTATAGGAGTGCAGGCATTTGTGAAAGCTGATAGAATTGTATGACTAATATGGGTGTCTTTTGGTAGGTAAACTGTATCACAATTGACATAACCAAAAACAGACAGAAACCCTGAAAGAATATGTACCTCTTTGTGGGAAGTTCTTAACTAATATTTCATACTTCCTTTGTCTGCAATACAGTAAAAGTCCAAGAAATGCTGATACTTATAAATGCTTCCTAAGAAAGCACCCTAATACATTCTAAGAACATTGCAACCATGGATAAAAGAACACAAAAAGAAGCAGGGTTGTTGTTGTTGTTGTTTTTGTTTTTTAAGGCTCTGCCATTTTCTTTTATGCTAAGAGATAATGGGAGTGGATCTGAGGGATGGAGACCAAGGAGATACACTTGTAGCACTCCTTGCTGCCTTATTCAGGTTCATTGTGAACATTGCCCTGTTCTTAGTAGCTGATGGCCACAAACTATGTCCTCAGGTGCATTTGGCCTCTGGCGCTCAGTTGGATTCAGCCAGTGACAAAGACTGGCAAGACCCACCCTCAAAGATTTCTGTGGCCTGGTCTGCATCCTTGGACTAAGTGGCATAGGGTCTGTCTGGCAGCTCTTTCCACTTACCCCTTCCCTCCCTCTGCTATCCCTCTTTCCATATTCTATTAAACAGAGGCTCACATCTTCAGGTCAACAAGTGTTAGCCATGTCCACTGTAACTGGCATGAGGGTATCATCACTCTGTTGTAAACTGTCAATATTTAACTTTTCTAAAATTACCCGATTGGATATCCCTTCTCTTTCTTCTGGAACTCTGACTCTTATCCCCACACTGGCACTAACCATATTCTCCAGTGTTACTAATAGGATCAGTGTTTTAGTAACATCAGATTTTACCGGTAATAATATTGAAAAGGAAATGAGTTTAAAGTCCTAGTGACCTGGAATCAAATTCTAGTTCTCTGGCAAATAGTCCTGTGGCCTTGAGCAAGATGCATAGCTCTGCTAAGCCTCAATTTTCTTATCTGTAAAATGGGATAGTAGTACTTTCCTCCTAGGGTTATTTTGAGATTAACTGAAATACCATGCAAAAGAGTCTAGTACAATAAATCTCAACAATGAGAGTATATCATTGTGATTTTTCTTTCTAATGTGCAGATGTTCTGGGCCATCGCTGGAGATTTTGAGTTAGCTGAAGGGTTTGTATATGTGGGGTTATGTGGAGCTCTGAGTGGTGGGGGAGGTGCGGCATCTATTTATATAATTATCTTTATGGGTGAGTGTGACCTCAAGCTAGCATGATGTCCACCAGGCCACTCTAAAATAGGATATAAATAAATGCTCTTTACCCTTTCGGTCAATCTCCTTCATTACTTTAACCAGAAATCCCTACAGAAGAATCCATGATTTCATTCCCAATAATGACTAAAGGATTAACTGCAAATACCTGGGAAAACCAATTTATATCTAAGGATAATTGAAAGATTAGAAATAATTTTCTGTTAAGAGGCAGGGGAATAGACCATTTGATAAAGATACCCCAGCAGAAAAGTAATAACATCAGAGTGGAAAACAGTACAGAAAAAGGGTAGTAGGTACCACCAGAGCAAATGATTCATTCCATTTTGATTCACTGGAAGAAAGATGCTTAAAGACATATGCTAGGAAGGGTACAAAGCTATATAAAGTCCATGTATTAGCTAAATAAATTATAAACAATTATTATGCTTAATGGCATTACAGTTTATTCATGGAAATAAACTTCCTCCCTGTCTTTCCAACACACACACACACACACACACACACACACACACACACACACACAACACACGCATACAGAAAGACCACAATACAATAGAAACAACATATGTATGCTGCAAATTACTTGCTCTTGTATAAGGCAGAACACCCAGGAAGACTTTTTAAAAAATTTTTTTTAATGTTTTATTTATTTCTGAGAGAGAGAGAGAGAGAGAGAGAGCATGAGCAGGGGAGGGTCAGAATGAGAGGGAGACACAGAATCCGAAATAGGCTCCAGGCTCTGAGCTAGCTGTCAGCACAGAGTCCAACGCGGGGCTCGAACCCACGAACTGTGAGATCATGACCTGAGCAGAAGTCGGATGCTCAATGGACTGAGCCACCCAGGTGCCCCAAAAGGAGTTAATTATTTAAAAGTATACAATACATATGTATACCTAGAAACTTTCCATAAAGTATTTAGAGAATTAAAACTTTTCATCTGGCTATTTGACATTAAATAGACTATGGATTTTCATCTAGGTGTTGATCACATTTCAGGGAGAATGAGAGCCTTACCTACGAGACTTGCAAGCCAGCTAACTAGGTCATGCATGCCTCTCCACAATTATTATCTTTCAATTATTACTTTTTTAAGGAACAGTTAGTGTACAACACACACACACATGTACACACACACATTATCTTCATTTATTATATTCACATTTTTTTTTCAATGTGGGAATGGCCTTGGAAGGATTGGGTTTGAGCTTGGCTAAGCCACTCTAAGAAAGTATTTTATACTCATCATGTAACCTCTCTAAAGTTCGATTTTTGTTGGTTAAAATGTTGGGGTTGGCCCCTAAGTTCCTTTATGCTATAAAGTTCAGTATTTCTTAATTATATAATGAATAGGAAGGGATTTTCCAGGCAATAAAATTCTAATCAGATTTTAAAATATAACATTAAAGAGTTATTATTAATAAAAGTTACCTGTTAAAATGTGGAAACAAATTCAATTTCCACTAAAGCACTTCACAGCAGTAAAGGGTTCAAGGATAATTTCTCTAAGTTTACTGATAGGAAGTATAGTTTAGAAGACATGCTCAGTGTTTGTTTGTTTGTTTGTTTGATTAACTGTTCCTGTAATGGAAACACAGTAATGAGAATAATGTGTAAGGCAGACTGGTGGGGCTCACATCCTAGTTCAACAACTTAGTAGGTGTGTTTTCCTTGGGTGAGTTTCTTTGGGCCTCTGGTTCCTTATGTTTAAATTGCTCAGAGTTGTAGCAAGGATTAAATGAGCTAACACATATAAAGCACTTAGGAGGGGCCTGGCATGTATAAATGTCCAAAATGTTAATGACTATGACTCAGCAAAACCATCCGTGCTATTTGGCCATAGCATGGTCTATTTGTTTATCTGAATATTGACAGGGCTAACAGAAGAACTCAAATACTTCCACTTGAACTCTGGCTCTACATAGGCTACCTACGAAAACATGAGGTTCCGGTGTCTTGCAGCCCCTCCAGGCCTCAGATTTTTGTCTGGTAAAAAAGAGGTAAGAATAGTAATATGTAGTCACAGGGCTATCATCAGAAAGGAGAAAATGTATGTCGAAGCAATCTGCTGTGAAGTTCGCCACAATAGATTTGAGAGGCTATGAAGTATTAAATTTTCATGTGAGAGAAGTAATTTATTTGAGAAAATAAAACACAAAAGCTCTCTTTTAAGT